CAAGGGAAGAGGAAAAAAAATAAGAACCAAGAGACTCATGTAATGGTGCAAGATCCCAATGATGAATGTAACTGTGTTGTATACCTAAAAAGTACCAATAAAGTTAATGGGGAAAAAAAAAAAATCTACCAATTCAGAGAATTTTCACGGAATTATCTGAAGGATGAATAACAAGAAAACAGCCAAAATGTTCATTTATATGGTAAATTACACAAATTAAATGAATACTAAATGGGATGCAGTAACATATAACCACCAAAATAACAAGAAAATTATATAGCAACAGAAAAATACTTATATTACATTAACGGGAACAGTAGAATATAATTTTTTTTCATAGAATTAATAAAATCAATCTTTCCCCAAAAAACTACCAAGGAAAATAACACATAATACACCTAAATGCTAATTAGCTTTTCGGGATCATGAAGGATTTCATTTTCTACATTCTCTAAGAAAATTCTAAAATTAGTAGATTCAAATTATACATGGTGCACCAAGAACGGGATTTGGTGATCATGCTATGGTGAACTTAAAGAGAGCAGCTTCAGTGGTAGAGGTAGAAAGCAGAGGAAAAAGGTTAAGAAGAAAAGGGCAAGAAGCCAAGATGACCAGCTTAAATTTCCTGTATTCAATATTTAAGGAAGAAGGGAAAGAAATAAACATCAGAGCAAAGCATAAGAGGAAGCAGAGTAAAAGAAAGATCTCTTTAATATGGGGAACAGAGCAGATGAAGACATGAAGAAGTAAAGCACAACAGAGTTCAGCCTTTGGAGTTGGTCAGACCAAGGCCCAGACCCCAGCTCTGCTGCTGGGCTACCTACACCCTAAGGCTTTTAGCTTCCAGAATCTAACGGCAGTGGCTTCTCAGTTTTGTTATAAAAATAAATGAGACAGTATCTGTGATGTGCCTTGCAGGTTCTGGAAAGAAATACTACCTCTTAATATTTTTTGAGAACCTTTTATTGGTCTAAAAGAGGGAGCAGGAGGATAAAGAAGCAAGGGTTACAGATTAGGGAGGGCAGAAGAAGGCAAGCACACAGATAAGAGGCCAGCTGCCCAAAGAGGGAGAGATTCTGCACATGGGTAGAAAAGTTAAAAGTTCATATTGTATTACAGGACCTGTAGGGTCTTGCCTTATTTCTACCTTGGTATGGTGCATCACTTTTACTGACTAATAATACATCAATACTCCTTTTTATGTCATATCAAATATAAATGGCACTAATATTTGAAAAACATTAAAATTATGTAAGATACATACCAGTGCTTCTATGAAAGTTCTTATTATTAATAATTATACATAAACCCATTTCAGGATAATCCATTTTGTATCTATTATCCAAGGATATTCCGGAGTCCATTGATTTGCTTCCGTGTATGATCTTTCTGTTTGGAAATCAGATACTTTAAAAAGGTAGAAATGGCCGATCCACTAATACAACTTTTATGACTCACAAGAACAGCTAACATTTGTTTAAGGTTATGTACAAAACTTTTTGCTACAGGATCTTCCTCCTTTAAAATTTTACTACAAATCATTTTACAGATACAAAAATGACCCATCCGAGACTAAGAGATGTGTTGACGGCCATGAAGATGGTGCATCAGAGCCAAGGGGAAGGAAACCCTTTACTGGACTTCAGAGTTTCAGGTTTTAACTTTATGTTCCTTATTTTTCTTTACATATTAGTAAAATTTTAACAAATACATTTTATAATTTAAAATACTGTAACTCTAAAATAGTTTATACTTTAAGGTAAGAGTCAAACCTTTACAATTACTCTGAAATGATAGAAACCACTAATCCTCAAATTCTATGAGCCAAAAAAATTAATAATTATTAGTTAATAACTTATAGAAGCACTGTTATAAATAACTGAAAATACTTGTCTGAAAATCACTTGTCTAAAAATTTTCTCTAGATCAGTAAATACATTCTTTAAGGACCAAATACTAAATTATTTAGGCTCTTGGGTATTCTAGTCTCTGCTAAATTCTTCTGGTACTCAATTCTACTGGTGAAACTAGCTAGGAACAATATGTGAATGAATTAAGTATGGCTCTGCTCCAATAAAACTTGACAAAAATAGCCCATAGGCCTGACCCATGATCTATCAGAAATCTAGGAAATAACAAGTCTAGGAACAGACAAACACCAATACCTTGTCTATATACTTATATACTTAGAGTATTTTGTATTTTATCCAATTCTAAAAATATTGTGATTGAAGGTAGTAATTAAAGGAGTCAAGGTCAGAAAATAACAATTATAATTACAAAGGTAAAGAGCCCCAGGGCCCTACTCTCATTTTGTGAAAAAACAAAACAAAACAAAAACAAAACAAAACCCTAAAAACCAAATGACTTAATCTTCAGGTCATAAAATACAAATTAAGTATCCCTTAAAAAATCTGAAATCGGTCCCATGATTTAGCTCAGTGGTTCTGCTGCCTGCCTTGCAAGCGCAAGGTCCAGAGTTCGATCCCTGGTACCAAAAAAAAAAAAATTCTGAAATGCTCCAAAGTCTGAAACTTTTGAAAGCCTACAAAATGCCATACAAGGAAAATTTCACATATGACCTCATGTGACAGGTCACAGTCAAAACAGTGGGACATTAAAAACCTATAAAATTACCTTTAGGCTATATGTATAATGTTCTTATGGAATGTCTAGACTTTGGTTCCATCCCTAAGACACTTCTTTATGTACATGCAAACACATCTTAATCTGAATGAAACTGAAATCTAAAACACTCCTGGTTTTATCTTTTCACCTAAGGGACACTCAACCTGTAACAGGCCATAGAACTATAAATACCATCTCTCAATGCCCATTCCCCACTTCCTCCTTAGGAGTAAGTCCTCTACCAGCAATATGATAGCTGGACCAAGAAGAGATACTCCTTAACAAACAGCAGAGACTTAACAAGCTTGGGAATGTGAGGGTAACGTATCACAGGAGCAAAACAACCCTAGACTTCTTTGGGGCTTCCAATGTAATTCACTGTATATATGATATTCTATACAAAAAGATGGTAGGGTTTAAAAAATAACAACAACAGCCTTGGAAAATGGGGTTATATTTCAAATTCCTTTGCTAAACAAACAAGCTAAATCATTAGCAGGGACTTGTTAATAGCATTGCTATACTACAATTGTTAGTCTGTAATTCCCAGAGTGGTTCAGAATAATAATACTGGGTCTCAGAAATAAACTTTTAGAATTTAAAAAACTTTTAAAATTGACAGATAATAATTACACATCTCTATGATGATGTTTTGGTACATTTATACATTGTATCGATCAGCTCAAGATAGTTAAAATATTTTATATGGATAATAAAAGACATGAATTAACTGGAGTGAATTTTTATCTTTTTCCCTTATTGGCCAGTTATTGGAAGCATTAATAAGCAGAATATACTAAAAAAGAAGAAAAAAGAAAGACAAAGGATAAAAGATAAGGCAATTCTAGGCAATTCTTCTCCAGCTAAAAACCAGCATTGCATTTTAGTCTTAAAACCTATAAACAACAGGTCAAAAAATTCCCCGAAACACAAAACCTCTAATCCTGTACAATGATTTGGGAAGACAGAGTGCACCCCAGAGGCGAGTCCTGCCTCTCTGGTAGAGTCCTTCTTATTCCAGGGGTGAGTCAGACACTGTCCTAGGTCTTTCCTTTCATCCTCCCCAGAGTTCTGCCGGTTTTACTATCTCCATTTTAAAGATGAGATTCAGTGATGTAAAGTTATGGAAAGCCACACAGCTCTCTGAGGTGGGAAGTCAGCTTGGTCTCTGACTAGAAAGCCTATCTGTTCCCCACTCCTACTGTATCATACATGTCCATCTTTTTTTGACTATTAAGGATTCCATTTAAATACTCACGTTTCTAAATCTTTCATGGATTTTGCATCCACTGAGTTTTCAGTGTTCTCCATGGCTACTTTTCTTAACTAGGATATAAAAAAAAGGAAGTTGATAAAAATCAGTATTATAAAACCACCATTGCATATTAGTGATCCCAGTTAATATTTCTCCAAATCCCCTTGTTTAATCCTCTACTGTGAAAGGTCTGTAAGTCAGACCTGGGGGAATGATCCTTTGTAACATAGGCTTTCTGCCTCTGTCTCTGTGTCTCTCTCTCTCTGGGCCCCTCCCTCCCTCTTGTTTCTTACCCGATTATCAATTATATATAATGAATTACATCAAATACACAGATAAACAATGAATTTTTCCATTGTGTCCCCTTGTCAGATCAAGATAGAGATTGAAGCTTGTTTTCTTTATTACCCATCTAATCAGCTCATTTGTAGGAACTCAGCTTCCAACTCAAAAGTTAAAACAAAATCAAAACTTACACAAGGGTATGTATGCCTCACATAATATTGTTCCACAATGCTTGGATTCCCAAGAGATACATTATTAAGATGTTCCAAACCTCTATTTAATCCTTATCCTTAAATTGGGTTTCAGCATCCAAACTTCTCACTTAGGGTGGTTGAATGGCTAGAAGACTTAAGAGTAAAAACTAAAATTTCTACTTTCATTATTCCAACAGGTACATCTCATACAGTTAACAAATCTTTATCTTCAAAACAACCACTTACTGAGCACTTATGACATATCAGGTACTTTGCCAGGCATCTCATCTTTATTAGTAATTCTAAAAGCCAGGAAACCTAATTTTTAGTGATTAAGTGACTACATTCACTTCCCACTCTCATACCCTGCCTGAAGAACCCAACCCCTTACTACTTGACTTTTGAGTTCTAGGTATTCTCCAGCTTCCAGAAGCAAAGGTACTTGCCATGGTAACCTACCTCCTTAAATAGGGATAAGAAGGACAAAAATAAAACAAAATATAAGGACAAAACGTCCTGAACAAATTTCTCCAGACTCTAGGTCCTGAGTTCGATCCCCAGAACCCCCCAAAAAACATTCAATCAAAATACAACTTTAACCTCACTCTTAGGCTAAACTCAGAAATACTGTAGGAATACGCAATCCTACCAACAAGACACACCCATAAAATACTTTCTAGATAATCCTAGGCAACCTCCTCTGATTTTTAAATTTGTGACACAATATACACAAAATTTATTATTTTGGCCACTTTTGAGCATACAGTTCAGTGGCATTAAGCACAGTCACACTGCTGTACAACCACCACCTCCATCCTCTCCAGACTTTATCTTCCTGAGACTCCATTTCAAGGTCCCGCACGCAAGGTCTCTGGGAAAGCATGATTCCTTCCCTTCTTCAAAGCTAAGTGTCTTCCTCTCCTCACACCACTTCTGTTCATATGGTGGAGAAAGAGTACAGAAGAGGAAGCGTCACCCATTAAAATTTAACCACAGAAGAGGGTAGTGTTTTACTTTCTCCCAAAACCAATCTATTTTTTGCATTTCTATGAAGGCTCTTTGCTTTCTACCATTGTACTTCCGGCAGGCTTTCTAGAAAACCACAGCTGGATGTGAGCACTATTGGGATAAATAATCAGGATAGTGGGCAAATATTTAGTGAACACATACTTTGTACCAGGTTATCATTCTGGGCACTTTAACAGTGGAAGACAACACAAAGTTCCTACTTTCAAGAAGCTTTCATTCTGGAGAGGAAGCCTATAATTTATAAAAAGATTTCACACTGGTAGGGGGTATGAAGACAACAAAACAGAGTAAACTAATACACAGAGTGAGAGCTACACTAGCTAAGGCGGTCAGGGAAGTCATCTCCATGGTGACATTTACCGGAGACCTAGCTAGATGACATAGAGGATGCCATTACAGCTGTCTGTGCTGGCAGGACCAGCAAGTAAAAAGGCATGATGAGTTTGTTGTATTCATGGTGCACAGCGAGTGGTTTGATTAGTGCATGGTAAAAGAGGGAAGGAGCGGAGGGAGATGACACAGGAAAGGAAAGATCACATAAGGCCACCGGAACCAAGAGGCACTTTAGTCCACTCAAGAGGTGATGACAGCTGGTATAGAGCAGAATAATGGATAAAGGTAGTTAGAAGCCTAGAATTTGACGGAAAGATCAGAGCTGGATATACACTGGGCATCCTGCTTTTATTTTATTCATTAATTAAATTTTTTGGTACTGGGGATTGCACGCAGAGCTTTGACACTGAGCTACATCTCCAACCCTTTAAAAATATCTTTATTTTGAGACAGGGTCTCACTAGGTCGCTGAGTTGCCCAGTTTGGCTTGAACTTCTGGTCTTCCTGCCTTAGCCTCCCCAAGTGCTAGAGGATTACAGCTGTGTCCCACCATGTTCAGCTTGTACCCTGTTAAGAGGTTTAGTAGAGGAAATAAAGCCAGGAAAAGATACTAAAGCAAAGTGAAAGAAGATGAATGTGGTGGGGCCGGGGATTTAGCTCAGTGGTTCTGCTGCCTGCCTCAAAAGCACAAGGTCCCGAGTTCTATCCCCAGTACCAAAAACAAAAAACAAAAAAAGATGAATGTGGTGTACCAAAGCACACAGAGACACTGTTCAACCTTTTCGAGTATTGCTAAGAGAATAATTTAGATAAGGACCACTGGTTTGGTTAGGAATGTCATCAGTATAATGGGGACTAACAGAAAAAAAATCCAATACTTGAAAGTGGGCAAAAGAAATTACTACACGTCATTTACACTGTCTAGTGGACTCTACAGAATTCTATAGGCCCTCCTCCTCTTTCTTCTTTTGTGGTACTGGGGGTTGAATCTAGCAGTTCAATCCTACCACTGAGGTACATCCTCACCCAGCCTTTTTTATTTTGAGACTGAGTCTCATTAAATTGCCCAGGCTGGCCTGGGACTTGAGATCCTCCTGCCTCACCCTTCTGAGTGGCTGGGATTATAGGCATGTACCGTGGTGCCTGGCTAGGTATACTCTTTTGACTAACCTCCTGACTTGGCTGTTTTACAACTCTGTAGGAAATTAAGCCATACAAAGTAGTATGCAAATAATTCTTGTCTATAGCAGTGAAAATGAATTTTTGTCTTGTAATGATGCAACTGATTTCTACCCTAAAGACTGATCCTTCCAAATTACACTTACTGCCCTATAGGACAGAAACGTTTTGTATCTATCAGTAATTTCCTTTCATTATCCTCAACTGTCTGTATCTGTCTATTCTTTAAATTCTCCTTTGAACTGGTCTTATCTTACTAGTTCCATTATTTTATTTATTTATTTATTTATTTATTTTGCGGTACCAGAGATCAAACTCAGGACCTTGTGCTTGTGAGGCAGGTGCGGCACCACTGAGCTAAATCCCCGGCCCTACTAGTTCCATTATTAATTAATTGAATAAAATATTTACTATATATGCTTATTTTATATTTGCACAACAGCCAAGTTTTTAACTTTTTGAAAGGGAAAGGAGACAGGGGACAGTAGCCAGAGAGGTACAAAGGGTAGAGGATGCTTCTTACTTCATTTTGTCAAAAGACTTAGGCTCATGAGAATGACCTCGTGGAAAGTGTGGAATTCCTAAGGAAGAAAGAGTGAAGTTCTAAAAGGATAAAAGATGTAATGTATTTCCTTACATATGGAGAAACATTAAGCTCAGGTAAGAACAGAGACAGCTCATCCAATGTAATGGGAAGGAAGACAAAATATTTTAATATAATACGAAAAGGCTGGTGAATGTGATGGGAGGATGAGGTACTTCTCAGTATGACATCTATCACTCCTATATTTAGAAGATAAACTATGAGACAAGAATCCCAAAATGTCTTCTATTTACAGACCCATGTGTACTTATTTACATATTTTACCAATACCAAAAACTAATCATGCACAACGATACACGACATAGGCATTCTCAAACACTACCAGAAGAGACACATCGGTAAGATCTCTTGAGAATATTTTGACATGTCCCCTTATTCCCTAATAACAAGTGAAGCTTGATATAGTAAAATTATACTACTAAGAATGCAACCCGGGGAAATAACCCTGGGGGTAGAGAAAGTAAGGGAAGAATATACATTATTCATTAAAAAACTGAGAATCTAAGAACAGAGAAATAGTTAAGTTATAGTATATCCATTCAATGGTTAATGCAGCTATTCAATTTTTCTTTTTTTTTTCAATCTTTCTTAAAGAACTTACAACATGGGAAATGCTCATAATATAAACCTAAGTTAAAATAGGCTATAAGAACAGTATATCTTAATTAAATATACATTACAAAAAGAGCAAAAGTGCTTATGCAAATCATTACATATTAACATATTTGGCTATTTCTGGGTGACAGGATTACTGACAACTTATTTACTAAATATTCTGTATCTTTTTAAAAAATCGGTATCACTTTTAAGGTTAGAAAATAGTAATATATTATTTTATAACAGTATCAACAATGACAGAATGCATCAACCAAGATTGTGCTAAATAATTTCAACTCTCAAATCTTGTTTCAAGAGTGACAAAAAGAAGGATACTTTATTATTTTGAAAGCAGTCATTCTTCCTTGCTTTTAGCATGCTCTAATCTATCTGCCTATCTCTTTTTCTTTCATATAGGCAATAAACACGTATCGGGTACAAGGAAATTCCAAACTTACATGAACCATAAGTGCCATGGGACCAACTTGTCCCCACACGTGTCAATTCAAAGTATGAAAGGCATAAGCTGAAATAATTATCCATCTGTGGCTGAGGAATGAGATGTGATCAGCCTGATTAACAGAAAATAGTACAGGGTGGCTAACAAGACTGGAAACAGGCAAATGCATCACAAATGGCTCACTGATTTTTTTTTTTTTTTTTTTTTTTTTTTTTTTTTTTTTTGGTTTTTTGAGGCAGGGTCTCCCTTTATAGTTCAGGCTGGCCCTGAACTCATATATAGCCCAGGCTGGCCACGAACTCAGTGATCCTCCTGCCTCAGCCTCCTGAGTGCTGGGACTACAAGCATACGCCACCACACCCAGCTCATGACTCACTGATTTTTAAAAAATAGGGAAGAGATAATTTTATAAAGTGAACCTAGAGGTCCTGGCATTGTCCTTTCTAGTTCCAAGGTTTGCCTCAAACTGGCCCTTTAAATGGACTGCCCAATATAGGGCTCACAATCTGTGTTCGGGAACCCCTAAGAGCTGATCAGCTTCCACCAACAATCATGGTCCTGAAGATCTCATTCCTAAAACCTTTAAACAGCGTGGTAATGCTTACACTAGAATATTGACTTGAATTTATAATTTTTGTCTCTTTTCTGATATTAAGCTGTAGGAAAAAATTATTCTCTCTTTGTGACTGGTTATAAAAGTTTTAAATAGTGACCAGCTTTCCAGAGTTCAAAATATTTGCAGTATTTGCTTGTTGGCTTGGACCAATGTTAAGATTTTATCTAAATAGTAGGGTGTGTGTCAGAGAAAGAGAAAGAGAGAGAAAGAGAGAGAAAGAGAGAGAGAAGAGACAGGTAGATCCTGGGGATCGAATTGAATACAGGGACTTCACACTGAGTTACATCCCCAGCTCTTTTTAAATTTTTTATTTTGCGATGGGATTTTGCTATTAATTTGCTAAGTTACCCAGGCAATGCTGAAACTTGCCATCCTTCTACTTCACCCTCCTAGAGGGCTGGAATTACAGGCATGTGCCATAACGCCATGGTAATAGTAATTTCCTTTTCATATCTTAAACCAATTTTCTCTGACCAATTATTGAAAGAAAATTTTTCAGATAGACCAGTCTTACTATATAAGTAATTATAATTCAATCATTTCTGATATTAGACATGAGTGACAAATTTCTTATTTAGTAAGAGTTGGTGGCTGAAGAAAAGAAACATGAATTCTTCTGGGAGTTAAAATGGTATCTTACTAGGAAACAAATACTTTAATGTATTTAGTGTCCTTCATTATTAGTACGTGAAGAATATATATACCATCTCAGATATCAGGTGATCTTGATTTACTACTAAAATTTTTTAAGATGATAAATGAAATACTTCTAGCATGAGACATGTATACATTTGCTGTCATTATCTGCTTTTTCCATCTGATGAGCTTGGCTTCCTCAGAACTGACTAAAGTGTTACACAGCATTACCTCACCTCTGTTAGCTAATGCCTGGCTGCATACAAATTATTCTAGAGAGGGTGATCTCATCTTAGAAGGATAAAAGATGTCCTGAGGGAAATATTTACTGACCTAAACCATAACAAGAATTTAGTTTCTCACATCGCACATTTGACAAAATGTAAATAAGGAAAATAAATAGAGTTTAAAAAATGTATCCTGGCATAGGAATGGACTTAGTTTTCCTACTGTGATGATGTGTGTAAACTGCAGAGCCAGGATTCAAACCAAGACCTGGCTGTCTCAAGGACACAGACTCTTCCTACACATTCCATAGACTGCTTAGCACCATAGAGAGTGATAATGCTATGACTAATTTCCAGGAAGGAAACAAAAATCCACAACCTCAGAAGCCCTAGTTAAGATAGACAAAGAACATAAATAACATGATAAAAATGACTGCTGGGAACTGAAATAGCAGCTGATGCTAAGTATCCTTGGGCAATTGGTTCCAAGTCCCAATTGGGACAGCAAATTCTCAGCAGGCTCAAGTCCCTTATATGAAATGATAGAATATTTGCATACAACCTATGCAGACCTCCTATATACTTTAGATCATCTCTAGATTACTTATGATACCTAATACAATGTAAATGCTATGTTTAGGGAATGACAAAAAAAATGTCTGTATATGTTCAGTATAGATGCATTTTTTTCTAACATTTTTGACGATGGTTGAATCCACAAATGCAGAGGCTAATGTAGTACACTTACTCTAGTAAGTAATGAAGAAAATAGGAATGATGATTATGGTGTTTCTGATGCTAGTGGGTAATTTACTTCTAAAAGCAAAATAACTAGTTTCAAGTTAATCACTCAGTATAAGACATTAAGTCATTCTCTACATCTCTACTTGCCTATAGAGGAAAGATGAAGCCATTCCAATATGATTTCTGGGAAGACTACATCTCTTTTAAACAATTTGAAAAATACTGGGATTATATTTATTGCCTATCAGTAAGGACAAAGTCTCAAAAGCAGTAGCAATCACATTTCCAGATAAAGAAAGCTTCACAATAGTGTGTATAAGATTTCAGCTAAAATGCTGAATTATTGAACTCACTGTTGTCACTGGGCCTGGTAAAGTCAATCTTTCAATATTTAAAATATAATTAAGATAAAAACATGAAAAATGGAAAGTAAAGTTAAATATTGAATAAACCAAGTTCAGTTGTAGTATATGAACAAATGAAACTCTTTCCCTTTTTTTGGGCATGAGCCACACAACCAAGAAGACAGACTAGCAAGCGGCCACAAGTCAGAAAGGACTTGGTACTTACTTACTACTTGGAAGAAGTCTCTTCCCTTTTCCAAATGAAGTCCTAAGATGATACTTTTTTTTTTTTTTTTGAGGGAAAAAGGAGAAAATGGCAAAGCATTTGCAAGCCTAAATATTTTTGTATAAAATAAATGAAGAATGGAGGATTTTGGATATCTTTTATAAAAATTATAATTAACCATAATAATCTAGTGAACACCAACTGTGTGCAGAGTAGAACTTAATTGTACAAAGTAGTGGAAGGGACAAAGAGCCTACCCCATGTGAGGCTTATACCCACGTTCACTTATTTTCCTAAAAGGCTCGACAAGGCAGATGTCAGAGCATGTGCAGTCCATATCAAATAACCCTACCTCACTCTACCACATCGCAGAAGTTCTACAGGCAGTATTTAAAGGCAATAATAAAGCATGCAGAAAATAACTTACATTATATAGATTTCACATTTACAAAGCCTTGTCACAGACTTTTTTTTTTGGTACAGGGCATCGAACTCGGGACCTTGCACTTGCAAGGCAGGCACAGGAACCACTGAGCTAAATCCCAGGCCCACAAACATTTTTTCATCTGATCCCCACAGCAAGTGTGATGTGTATATATTCCAGTTTATGAATGAGCCAGTAAGTGCTTCACCTTTAAAGAATTAGCCTCAGGTAACCTGACCAAGAGACCACCCTTCCCAGCCAATACATCTGTATTTATTAAATGTGTATAAAAGAATATTTAAGAATCTAAAAATTCCCAAATATTTTTAAGAGACCTAAACACCAGTGCTTCTTATCTTTGGGGCAGAACTTAAAAGTATTATTTAAGGGCCAGGGATTTAGCTCAGTGGCACCGCACCTGCCTCACAAGCACAAGGACCTGAGTTCGATCCCTGGTACCAAAAAACAAAATTATTTAATACTAATGTTACTCGTGAAAATAAAGATTGCTTCGTAATATTAGAAGGGAGATGATGCAATAGATTGGGTTAAATTAGGTTTCAAAGGAAACCAGTAAAACCGCATCATAATTCTTTGTATCAGATAAATTGCCAGTTTCTTAAAATGACAGGAAGCAAGGCCCTTTTTCATGATGACCAAAGCAAATCTCAATTAGGTACAACATTTTTTGAACAAGTTTTATTTCCACAGTCTAATAAACTCTTCATTCACTAAAATACATTATTAACTTTTAAAAGTCTTTGAGCAGAGCAAAGCCAAAACTCGAACAGGGCTGATTTAGGCTTTAAATTTCATTTTTAGTGATCATATGACCGTACCACATTCAAAGTGGCTGACACATCTTGATTCTGGCTGATCTAATCACAGGGCTAAGCACCTTCTACTATCTTGCATATCCATATTGTTACAATGACTCCATTATTTCATGTCTACTATTCTTTTCTAACGCACATTTTAATTATAATTTGCTAAGCAATCTTAAAACAAATTTACTTTTTCTAGATAGGGCATCTGGATGGGGTAAAATTATTAAAAAGCATAATATTGTAATAAAAACAAATGGCATTCACTTGCGCCAGGCCCAGGATATGGGGAAAGACAAAAAGAACATCATAATAGATAAATCAGTCCCTCATTTGTTTGCTTATAATTTAGAAAGGAAGATAGTAAATGACCAACGTAAAAGATATGACGCATCTTCTTGGGAAATGCTGGGTACAAGGAAACACATAATAGGAAGACTGAACCTTGAATTGTTAAATGAAAATGTTAAGCAAATGTGAAGAAATGGGGGGTAGGGGGAAGGAATGAAAGTGTAGAAGTCAGAGACTAGGTTTGACCGTAAGCATAGTGCACGGTACAGAGAGTGAAGGATATATTAAAAGATAAGGCAAGAGAGGTTATTGAGGACCTAGTCAGTATTTGGCTTTGCTAATCACATTAGAGGACCAGATTTACCTTGAGGGCAAAGAACCAGCTTTCTAGATTTTCCTGTTGTAAAACATGGTCTGGAGAGGAGGAGGGAGGCCTGGCCGTGGGGAGACCAACGAGGAGGCTGGTGCAGTTAGGTGAGTCTAAGATTGCGGTCAGGGATGAAGGGGCATGCCCTGGCAGACATGTAGGAGGTCGCCAAGGCCAGGGGGCTAACTGCCGAAGGAGTAGGACAGGGGAGAGGTGGCTGAGCAGCACAGTTCTTTGGTGCCACTTACTGGGGCAAAGAGGCAGCGGCTCAAGTCAGGCTTGAGAAGAGATCCACTGAGAACGAGAGAAACAGGTGTGAAAAAGGCCTGAGGGGATTTCAGAGCGGCTCCTTCCAGTGATTTTGACCAAGGATACAAACAAAAAGAGCTGGAGTCTTCGTGAAAGCCTTCCCCTCTTAAAAGTAATGCAGTCATTGCTTACAAATAGCTCTGTGGAAGAACTGAAAGCACAGTAAACCCGAGAAAACTCTAGGCCCTCAGACTGAGAAGGCAGCAGAGATCAGATACTCAGGTGCTAATGGGAGGCACAGCGCCAAGGGCCAGAGCCTCAGACTGCAGCGGGCCAGCCTGCAGCCCCGGGACAGAGGTTTCTGAAGCCTCTCCTTGCTCCTCCCTGGCCGATCCAGCCCTCGGCCGGTGGTTCCATTCTCAGTCCCAACCCCATATTTCGCGGCCTCCGGCATCCCGGTCCCAGCTCTGCGGTCCGGCCTCGGGGCCCCCGGCCAGCCAGCCAGTAGCACTCCCCGCCCCCAGCTCGGTGCCCGTGAGGGTTTCCCGCTCCCGGGCCGGGCCTCCCATGCCCAGGGCCCACTCACGGGCCCGGCCTCTCGGTCCGCCGCGCTCAGCGCTCGCTCCGAAACCCTCAGCAGAGCAAAACAAAGGCTGTCTCCCGGACCGTCTCCTCTCCTCCTCTCTTCCGTCTCCTAGCAGCAGCTGCAAACCCGGGGCAGGTCCCCAGGGCAGGCACTTGTGTCAGGAGAACGGAGGGAGCGGGCCCAGGGCTGGCGCCGCAGGGCCGAAAAGGGGCGAAGGGGACACTCACCGCACAGCCCCCACAGCTTCCAATCAGCAGAACCCACCTCTCCGCTACGCCGGCGCCAGCAAGGTTTCTGCAGCCGCAGCAGCTGGGAAAGGAGTGAGCTAGGCCCGCCCCTAGGCCCGCCTCCCCGACCGCCCCCGTCCGCACCTCCCCCAGGGCGTGCCCCTTCCGGTCTTTGGGACCCCGCGCTCCCCTCCGCGGAGACACGCTTCTCCAGCTAGCCCACCACCCAGTCCGCGGGGGAAGGCGGCTGGCTGCCTGCCAGACCCTGCACTGAGCCCGCCTTCCAGCCGCGGCAGCCCCGCCCGCCCCCGGCCCCGGCCCCGCCCCGCCCCAGCGCCGGCCTCGCCCCTCACTGGCCCGGTCTCACCCTGGCCCTGACCCGGCGCGTACACAAGTGCTGGCTCCGCCCCTGTGCTGGTACTGTCCTGGCGCGGGATTTGAAGTGTAATCCCGCCGGAGGTCGAGGAACCACGGACTTCCGCTGCGACTCGGCTGTTCTGAGGTAAATTGGGCATCCGCACCAGGACCCTGGTCCTCAGGGCACAATGAAACGACATGGTTAGGCGGTACCCGTCTGAGCTCCAGAAGGGAGGGGAACAGGCCGAGACTCGCGCTGGTAATCTCTATTTCCCTTCAAAGAACCAGAGGCCGTTAAATCAAATGCTGCAACTGCCCCAATCATTTTAGGCCTATTTGGGGTCATTTACTCATTTGGAGTCATTTACTCATTTCAGGCCCTGAAGCAATCAGTAAAGCGTTTGTTTAGAAAAATATACCAGCACACATGAGCATAACATTCTGCACCAGGTTTCTAGAGTTTAAGACATTCTGACAACAAATCAGGGACCCCACGGTATAGAACCAGTTTACTCCCAATGCCTATATCCGAATGAGTGTAAATCAGGCATTCAGGTATAAGTCAGAGACTATATTATGTGTTATATACAAATACATGCATATACACACGCATACACACATGCGTGTGTGTGTGTGTGTGTGTGTGTGTGTGTGT